TATATCGACATTAAGTGAGGAATATCTGTGTGTATATGTATATATGTATTTATTTATTTAGTTATCTAATGTAAAATGTTATAGTCATTGTGTTTAATTATTTAACCTATACATAATAAAGACACCAGCCACAGCTCAAACTCCCAAGGTTTTGGTTTTTGGTTTGCTTAATCTGTGGACAGAGTTGTTGAAACATGGGACTCTTCTGTACCATTTTTTCTGTAATTGATCGAGATATCTGAATTCATTATAATGAAGAATCAGGTTGGAAATATCAATATAGAAGTTAAATAATTAAACACAATGACTAGCATTTTACATTAGATAACTAACTAACTGTTGGTGTGGAAATAAAATATAAGTTTTAAAATTAAAAATATCCAAATCATTTTTAAATTCATATCTGCTAAAGGATATTAGTTAGTTTTAATATGATAAAAGGTAATGTTGTTAAAATTTACAGATATAATACTATAAAATGAAAAATTCATATTTAATTTATAAAATTATAGTTCTAGAAGTAAAAATTAAATTTTTCTGCTTATATAGTAATTAAAGATGATAAAGATAAGAAAGTTTTAAGAACTTATATATATATATTATATATATTACAATGAAAAAGAAAGTTGTTAAAATAAAAATCTAAAATTTAAATTAGAATGAGATATTTGAAGTATAATAATTTGCCTTGGTTAAATTTGATTCATACATCCTTGTCTCTTGCATATGTGGTCAGTGTGGTGTCGGTCATTTCTTTTTGAAGTTATATTGATGTTCATTTTCTTGGCTAAAATTTTTGTTACGCCAATGTAAACTTAATTGTCAGAAATCAGAAAAAGTTTATTGTCTAATGGGAATTACTTCCCTATTACAAGGGGTTGTAGTTTCATGTGTCCATATTTATCTTTACTAAAACAATATTTTTCCATTAATTTTTTAATTTGCACTTATTACTCGCGTACATATTCACATATTCTTTAATTTAATTTATTTTGTTATTATAAGTTTCTATTATTTTACAAAAATAATTATAAATATTATATAATTCTTTTTTACTCATATTGTTAAAATTTTTTAACAATTCTATTAGCGAGTTGCATTTATAAGTGCTATTTATATCATAATGTTCACGAAGTTCCTTTAACTTTGGACATGTTAATATCAAATGGTAAGGTGTTAAAACGTCAGCATTACATAAAAAACATTTAGTTAGTAAACTTATATAAGTATTGTTAACATACAGCGAATATTTGTTTAGACGAAGTTGCATTATAAATCGTTTTATGTTCAAATTTACCGATTGCCATATATATGATTGCATTGAAGGTATTTCAAATATATCCAAGTACCACGAGTGATATTTACTGCTATAAAGAGAGTCCTGATCTTTTGTTATAGATTGAGCTATAGCTGATTCTAACATCAATGAATAACCTGTTTTCCAATCTTGAATTTTATCTTTAAATAATAGAACTGATACTCCAAAGGAGTTGAAGATAGTTTGCAGCTTATTATACCATAGTTGTTTATTTTTTTGTAGTTTACTTTGTCTAATATTTTCATGGTATAAAATAGTTAAATTATTATCACCTTTGAAATTAAGTTTGTAGAAGAATTTGATAATTCGCTTTAATATAAACGGGAATAACCATATTCGATTTGTTTCATGACGTAGTGCATATCCCGGTACTGTTCTTTCTATGTGAAATAGTCTGCGTAGATAATAAATGTGAAATTGTTCGAGTTGGTAGAAATAGTCCAAGCACCAAATAGGACTGGCGTAAAATAACATTGGATTAATAATCGAGCTGTAAAGTTTCATATGTATTCTTAAATCTGAAGTTTTTAATTTGCTGCACAAAAATAGAAGGTTATCTATTGCTTGTTTAACTTTATTTTTAAGTTTAAATATATGCGATTTAAATGTTAGATTCCAGTCGAAATTAACTCCTAGGTAATTTATTTCATTCACTGTTTGTAGTAAAATTTTTTCGAGATAAATTTTTGTTTCATTGATGGATATTTTACTGTTATTCCGAAATATAATTATTTTAGTTTTGCTTGGATTAATTGCTAAATATTTGGACTTGAAATACAAATTTATTTGGTTTATTTTCCTTTGGAGTGCTTGTATCGCTTCCACTATATAATCGTTGAAAAATTTTTTGTTATAATATAAATTTGAAGTAATCCAAGTTTCTGTAATTGCTAAAATATCCGGTTCGTATTTAGTGCAAATTTTAACTATTGATGACATTTTATTTTTTATTCCTTGACCATTCCAGTTTACAATGGAAACCATTTGATTATTTTTTATGGTTCTATTAAAATGATTATATTTTTGTTTGTCATGGTATCAGCTGTTCCTATCTATTTGGTCACTATAAGGATGAAAGTTGTTTACATAAACCAATTTACACAATTTTAAACTATATGTTATTTTTTCTTGATTTATCATTAATATATCGTTACGAAGTTTAACTTGATCTTTTTGTTTTCGCCATTCATAAAAAATTGGGAGTAACTTTTTCCTTCTTAATCTTGAGTTTTTGGTTAATTCTGGTGCCATTTGCATGTCTTTCCATTCATTTGATGTATTTCTTAGTTGTTTCTTTTGAATAAAAGTATAGAAGAATTTATCACGGATTTGCTTATTATTAAATATTATTCTTACTACTATGTTAGGTTTCTTTGTTATTAAGTTTGTTTCTATTATATCAGATTGGGATATGTCATTAATATTAAGTACATTTGTCATAAACTTATATATTTCTGATGTAGATATAGATTTTTCAACAGGATAATTGTATACTATTACTTTTTTATAATTATAATCATTATTTAAAGAATCTATTTTGAATTGCATTAGTTCGTTTTCACTTTTTTGTTGTTCTAATTGTTGTTGTAAATTTTTAATTTCCTTCTCCATGTATAGCTGTTTTTCCTTGGACTCACGTATGTCCTGACGTATGTTTTCTATATCTTCTTTTATATAGACCATTTGTTCTAGTAGTTTATCATTAGAGTCCTTTATTAAATCAGATATTTTAGACCATAAGAGTGCCGTAGAAGTGTCAAAATGACTTGCAAGATTTGTAACTGAATTTGAATTAATATTAGATGACTCACCTGTTGAACTCAATAAATTTTGCTGGTTAGACTCTCTTATTTCTTCTTGCAAATCACTATTTAACTGTATTCCATAGTCCGTAATGAGTTTTGAGCTTGAAGAACCTGAATAATCTTGTTTGTTCTCTGTTCTCGATCTTGTAAGTGGCGGTCTTCCTCGCTTAACTGGGAATCTTTGCATAATGTTATTTTTTTAAATATTACTTTCCTCCTTTAATTTGAAGTATATAATATTAGTTTGCACTTATTTAATAATAAATTAATCAAACAGACTATTATTTGTCACTTCACTATCCTTATGTAAAGTTCACAAAAAAAGTCACTCGCAGCTTCGACGTCCTGACATGCCCAATGTAAACTTAATTGTTTACCTTGTAGTCATGTACGGAGATGGAATACACTCCTGGCCTGAAGACTTTTGGGTCGGGAATGTACTAGACGAATAACTTGTTGTTTTATATTGATATAACAGCAAGGATTTTAGTCAGGCGAATGAAGGAATGTCAACATAATACCAGAAAGGAATGACTGACAACCGACACTGCACTGGCCCCTATATTATCCAGGACTTATATTGATTTTGCTTGTGTGAGTTCAAATTTTTATTTTAAAGTTTATCATCAATAATCAAATTAAATAAATATCATCAATAAATCAAAACTATAAAAGAGGAATGCTTTAAATCAATTGAAAAAGTTATACAGGAAACTAAAATGCTTTTCAGAGTTTGAAATTACCTGTTTTAGAATTTGACATCAGACTTAAATTGGTAGAGAGCAAACAGTTTTATGCTACAATAATTAGAATTTTTATAAAAATACTTAAATCAAAAATTTCATAATGAACATTTTATTGAAAACTAACTTTTATCTTTGATTTTGTAGAATAATTTTATTCATTAATAATCCTCAAAACATATTCCTTGACGTCTTAATCCCATATGTGAAAAAAGAAGTCAAGCTTGGATATAAATTGCATTGTGCTAAAGTTTATATTTTTAATTTCTTTGTTTATTCATGATTAATTATTATACAAACATAATTTTTGTAATCATTACAACTGAATCCAAATATATATTAAATTAATAAGCTTTTTATTTAAAGTACACAATTTACATATAAACAGGAAAGTGATTTATTTTTACTAAATTTTATGTTTATTTTTTCAGATGTATTTAACTCGATTAATTGAAATAATAATATCGGAATCGTCAAAAGTTCCATACGAACAGAGAGAGATAGCCTTAGATTCCATATCTCAATTATGGCACATTCCTGGTTTGGTAACAGAATTGTATTTAAATTTTGATTGCAGTCTGTATTGTTCTAATCTATTTGAAGACTTGACTAAACTTTTATCAAAGGTTAGTTTATTGTTTAATGTTATATTTTGTTTAATTTCTTGTTTTGCAAATTTGTCTGTGTGTTCATGTATTTATGTTAGTATGTGTGATGTAAAAAATATATATAAACCATTGAAAGAATCACAGATGATTAAATATTTTTCTAAAAAGATTATGAAAAACTATTTTATATTATAGTTATATATTGTATGACTTGTTATACACAGAAACTGTCTGTCAATAAGTATCATGTAAAATAAAATTCTGCATAAATTTGTTCTCCCTGAAGTAGTTCCAGACAATTGCCTAGACACTTGTGCAATCATTTAAAATTAACATTAAAATGTGTTTTAAATGTTTACTTATGATTTTACTATTATAAGTAACAGTTTCATCTAACAATCTTAATATGTAAAGCAAAATTTTATTATAGTGTATCAAGTACACTATTATATAAAATGACGTGCAGGCAAGAGCTTTTACTGCATTGAGGATGCATTTGATAGTTTTGTGTTTGGAGTGTTGTTAGAAGCTGAAGAGCAGTTTTCCAACTTAGAGTTAGATTTGGTGGCACAAGGAGTGGGTTAACTTAACAATTTCACTTATTTTTTAAATTTATTCTTGTTTTACTTGTACTAGCTTATGGTTTAATACATTTTAAAGAAAAATAATTTATTTCTACAGGTATACCATCTTATTTTAACATTTTATTACATTTATTTATTTTTTAATTCATTTCAGTTTTATTTATTTTACCCCATGGTTTTAATAGTTATTCCAACTGTCACTATAATTATTTTTAGTTAATTATATTTAAAAAAACTTTTTATACATGTATGTTAAATATAATTTAATACCTTTTGTAATTTCATACATAGTTTTTACTGATACACATAATAAAATAAGGACTGAAGAGGAGCATAGAGCTCAAAATGCATATCTGTTTTAAATTATAGAAAATAAATCTACTTTTTCCATCAAAAGGCATATTCCTGTGTAATTTGTTCTCAATAGCAACTTTGTGCTAAGTTCCAAAGGACATATAATTAACCATTTGCCATCTGTGAAAATGAAAATATACATACAGTGAAACCTCTATTAACAGGCACTTTCGAATAGTGGGCACCTCTACTTAATGGGCAGTTTTACAATTCTTCAAATCCTTCACCTTTGTAACTTAACATTTGTTTGGCTAAATTGACCTTTGTTCCCCACTTCTGTTTGTAATAACAGTATAATTTTTCCTTTTTTTACTTCTGCTCAGGTCATTTTTGATGAATTAATAATTATTCAATGTTTACATTTTGTAATTTTTATGTTTCATTTAATTAAAGTATCCTATACAATCTGTTTTCTATTTAGAATTCAATTAAGCTGTGATTTTTACAGCTGAAGAAATAAACAATATACTGTATATATATATATATTTTAATTAGATATGCTATGTATACTTTTTGATATTTTTACTTTCCTAATGCAAATTTGATATTTTTGTAATCCATTGTATTCTTCACTTTATAATGACCAGATTAAAATATAATATGGCTGCTGGCATGTACCTCCAAATAGCTGACATCTCTAAATAGTAGACAAACTTTTCGATGCCCAGTGGTGTCCACTATTTGGGGGTTATACTGTATATCAGTTTTGCATAAAACAAGATCCTTCCTGTAATTTAGTTATTCAAATCTTTAAATCTGCATAAATTTCTCTTTGCTGAATATAAAAGCTGTTTTATATTCATTGTTGTGAAATAAATTTATATTAAAACATAATAGTTATTTTAAATTGTTAAGTAATGATTTTAATTAAGTTTTGAAATAGTTTTGGAGATTTTATTTTTCAATTTAATATATAAATGTGAAAACCTGAGGGCCCTAGGCCTCATTTAATAATTTTTATTAAATATGCTTAAATANTTACTGCTTGAAAGGGTATCTTATCTATTCTTATTAATGGACAACAAAATGAGGAGTTACTTTTATTGGGTTAAATTTTCAACAGAATGAAATATGTTTCAAACTATAATAAGAAATGTTAAGATGATTACTTTTTATTAGTTTCAACATAGCAAAAGTTATTAATGATTTATAAGGAAATTTAAAAATAATCATTTTTAATCAGAAATTATCAAAATATGTCATTGTTGAATACTGTTGTTTTATCCATAAAGAAAACTGGCAAGAAAAACGTTATCAAAACTCCTGAAAGTTAATAAAAAAATAAATATATATTCATTTATTTATTATATATCTGTGTGTATATGTATATATGTATTTATTTATTTAGTTATCTAATGTAAAATGTTATAGTCATTGTGTTTAATTATTTAACCTATACATAATAAAGACACCAGCCACAGCTCAAACTCCCAAGGTTTTGGTTTTTGGTTTGCTTAATCTGTGGACAGAGTTGTTGAAACATGGGACTCTTCTGTACCATTTTTTCTGTAATTGATCGAGATATCTGAATTCATTATAATGAAGAATCAGGTTGGAAATATCAATATAGAAGTTAAATAATTAAACACAATGACTAGCATTTTACATTAGATAACTAACTAACTGTTGGTGTGGAAATAAAATATAAGTTTTAAAATTAAAAATATCCAAATCATTTTTAAATTCATATCTGCTAAAGGATATTAGTTAGTTTTAATATGATAAAAGGTAATGTTGTTAAAATTTACAGATATAATACTATAAAATGAAAAATTCATATTTAATTTATAAAATTATAGTTCTAGAAGTAAAAATTAAATTTTTCTGCTTATATAGTAATTAAAGATGATAAAGATAAGAAAGTTTTAAGAACTTATATATATATATTATATATATTACAATGAAAAAGAAAGTTGTTAAAATAAAAATCTAAAATTTAAATTAGAATGAGATATTTGAAGTATAATAATTTGCCTTGGTTAAATTTGATTCATACATCCTTGTCTCTTGCATATGTGGTCAGTGTGGTGTCGGTCATTTCTTTTTGAAGTTATATTGATGTTCATTTTCTTGGCTAAAATTTTTGTTACGCCAATGTAAACTTAATTGTCAGAAATCAGAAAAAGTTTATTGTCTAATGGGAATTACTTCCCTATTACAAGGGGTTGTAGTTTCATGTGTCCATATTTATCTTTACTAAAACAATATTTTTCCATTAATTTTTTAATTTGCACTTATTACTCGCGTACATATTCACATATTCTTTAATTTAATTTATTTTGTTATTATAAGTTTCTATTATTTTACAAAAATAATTATAAATATTATATAATTCTTTTTTACTCATATTGTTAAAATTTTTTAACAATTCTATTAGCGAGTTGCATTTATAAGTGCTATTTATATCATAATGTTCACGAAGTTCCTTTAACTTTGGACATGTTAATATCAAATGGTAAGGTGT